ATACATACATACATACATATCAAATATACATATACATATACATATACATATACATATACATCTACATCTACATATACATATACATATACATATACATATACATATACATGCATGCATGCATGCACAGACAGAGACACATACACACGCACACACACACACACAGGCACACGCACACGAAAGAGCACATTATCCTAGCATGCGACTTGTATTGCATGCATTCAAGCATGTACGTATAGTCAGTATGCCATGTTCCATGTATGTGGGCGGGTGGGCTGTGTTTTGTTGCAGAGATATCCCTGCAATTGGCACCCCCGTTCACAGGACAACTAGCATCACAGATCTTGCCTGATCTGTGGTCGCGGCTCTAGAATTCGCTAGATACCTCCTCCGCACCGCCTAGTTAGCGTGCAGGCAAACACCCCCCTTATTGCGTTGCGGCCAGACCTGATGATGCAGATCTCTGATGAATGACTAAACAGCATATCTGGCAAAGAGGTAACGGCAACACAGTCATCTGGCCTGGCCCAGCAATGCCCTTCGCCGATGCAACGAAGGCCCAGCCATCCCCGGTCTGCAAAACATTAAAAGACCATTGCATTGCTTTGCACTGCCTTTGATGGCAGTCTCAGGGAGGCTCTACGGCAATCTTCAGCTGCTCGAGCTTGCCCCCGCTCACTGTTTGTTGACTGTGGTGTGGCCAAGTGGCCATGAGCACCAGTCTATGCACCACAAGCCTAGGTCCCACACAGCGGAAGGCAATCGGGCAAGAGTGACGGCAAACATCAACACGCCGGTTCCAAGCGACCGATTTGATGAAGGGCTTGATGGTCCTGCCCTTACCTGCCGGATCATTCTGGTGCTCTTCTGCTACCAGCAGGAACTCTCTTGCAGGTCTTTAGGCTAAAGATGGCAAGGACATCACTGCGAGAACTCACCCTTCACTTACCCAGCCATGCATCCTCTCAGAAACACACCGTCTTTCAAAGTTACTTCGGCGCTCCCAAGTCCAATCGTTTTAAGCCTACTCTCATGGACATCTGTGCGACTGGCGATCCCATAGAACACCTGTGAGCTCAGGACCGTGAGACTGGCGATTGGGTCTGGATTTCGGTGAACAGCGGTACCCATGCAGCAATGCATGATGCCGACGTTGAACGGCTGAGCCGAACCGCTGCGCTTCCCCAAGCGGGAGTTTTGATGGACTGCGGCCGACAATCAGAGACCTGGCGGAGGCGATGGACTTCGACCAGCAGCCTGGTTGAGCTGCCCGAATTTAGGCACGGCTTAGCAGAAAGATTGCTTCGATCCGTGAAGGACCTTCGCAGCAGCTCGAAAGGGGCGATCAGCAGGAACTTATTTATACATGGCCGGACACTTCCTCCTCAGTGAATCGAGTATAATCGATTGCAAGCGGGGACAGCTCCACCGAGCAGGGGTCACCGGCCATGTCGAATACAGACTCCAGCTGATCGCGAAAAACTTTGGATGGCCCGCAGCCATGGCTCAAATCAGTTCTGGATGCGGCAGACGAAGCTTCAGTTGTTCGGTTTGAATTGGAGAACAGATTCCTGGAAGCATCAATCGTTGCCGCGGAGCAGCCCTCGCACGCACACTCCCGAAACTCAGGCTGCATCACGGACGCATCGATAGAGCAGTATGCTGACCGAGGGCCGGCAAGACTGCGAACGAAAACAGCACACACGACAACACGCGATGAACATTCATCGAGCCTGGAACTGACGCCTTCTTGGTCTCCTTTCGCGAGGCTGTGGCTGTCTTCTTCTTGGACTTGGAAGTGCCTGAGCCGCTTCAGGCTGGGCATGTAAGTCAGAGCAGCCAATGGGCCAATGGAAGTTCAGCACGCATTCGTCAAGTTCTGGATTCAGGGGGTCCAGCAATGTCTGGCGCGTCGGCCGTGGAAAGCAAAACAAAGAAACGGCTCAGCTGGCTCAAGACAATCCACGATTCGGATTCCGCTTTCCCTCGTCGATGTCGTCATCGTCTTCGCTCTCTTCTGCTGTAGGTTTCCACCTGCTTAGCTTCTGTGCTGCAGCTAATCCAGCAGACCTCTAGGCCACATGATATGTACCCCACTGACCCCGTCCCTAAACGGAAAATCTGCCGAAAGAGGGCACCTCATGACGACTTCGTTCTTCCTCTTTGGGTGCTTGTGAAAGGATCCTAGCCACAGAGCTGCAGCCCTGCAGGTTGAGCTCTACACTCTCGCATGCTCTTGCATACATGTCTTGCACTTCTGCTTTCAGGGCATTGGGGCCCCGAGCCGTGACGGTTAATTCATGCAAAAGCCTGTCCTGGCCACTTCGTTTTCAAGATGGCAATGTTACGCTGCTCCTTCCGGTCGGATGCAAGGACATTTCGACCTGCTTGGTCTGTGGGCATTCCCCGTGCGCATGCGCAAGCCAGCAGCCATGCCAGTCCTCCACGCCTTTCGAGTCGCGGGTCGAGACAGCACCACCACCTAAGGCAATTTGACGGGCATCACCAAACATCTGCATGTGGCGAGGGTGTGAGTAAGGTTGGTGTGGGTAATAGTGAGGCTGAAAAGCGAGGGTGAGAGTGAGGGTGAGGGTGAGACGGCGAGGGTGAGTGACGGTGAGGGTGAGAGTGACAGTGAGAGTCAGATTGAGGACGAGAGCGATGCTGAGGATGAGCACTCGCTAGTGGGATTACTCCATAAAGCTTCCAAGACCTGACGAGCAGTTGCCTCCCCTGCGCTCTCCGTAGCTTAGATGCAGACAGTTGCTGTAGTGCTTGACGGTGAGGGTCATGCGGTTGCACCGAAGAACACTGCCATGAGCCTGTGCAGGCTACCACGGCCAGGACTATGTCTCACGCGAACACATGCCAACTGGAAAGAATTCGGGTCTACAACTCGAAAAACGCAGCTCGCAGCTAGCACAAAGAATCGTAAAAAAGCGGCGCCTTCAAATGTGCACATGTGAAGTCATAGTCTTCCTGCATGCCACCCGCTCATGGGACAAAGTCTGCTTGCAGCCCATCTCATGCCAAAGAACCACATTGGCACGAAGGGAGACTTCGAAACCTGTGTGCATGCTGTCCTTCAGTTTCATGTTCTCATCGAACCGCACCGAGGAGCCCTTGTCTACAACGAAGAAGTCGCCTTAGCTTATTCTCACACCACCCTATTGTGAACAAACTGTCCAGCTGTTATCACAACCGACCCCGCCCCAAATTCAACTTGGAGCCCCTCTAAGAAGACTTGGGTGTTCGCAACATTTCGCAACCAGGGCTCCCAGAATGAAGTGGTGATCGACAAACTCAGGACCTGCAGAGCTACAAACAATGCGGGTGCAACCGTGAGAAGGTCTGAGCCTGCAAAGGTGCGTGCACAGCTCCCCAGCATGTACACACCTGCGCTCAGATCAGCTGCAACAGCTGAACAGGCACACCAAGCGTTTGAGTGGCGACACCTCCCAGCTTTGGCTTGTCCGGTGAAGCACGCATCTTTGCGACGATGAAGCGGGCAGCTGCCACCGGCGTCCTAAAAACGACAACTTGGGCTTCAACGACAAGCTGACGATAAAGTTTTCAACCGCCTATCACAGCCCTCCCACCCACTGGCGAAGGATCAAAAGATGAGAGGATAAGTGAGACCTCCTTGCGGGGAGAGCGGTACGGCATGAAACATGCAATAACGCATGGGCACAGTAAGTGTAACTATGACATGGCAAAGAAGCTCCAGGTACGCACTTGTCAAATGTCAAACGACATATGGTGCTCGAGACTACCTAAATATGCACTGCTTCAGTACAGAAGCTAGTGACCGACCGGTGAGGTTTAACAGCCACAAAATGAAAGCGTCTTCTGTTCCGCCATAGCTGCACAATAAATCGTTGCGCCAGGGCATGAGCCTTGTTCATCGCATCATCCGTCTTGTCGCTAGCTCTCCTTTGGACACCGTCAGGCACCATCATGCAAGTCTAACGCGGGTCCGCACAAACCACGAATCCCCTCCGCGCGAAGAAGCGTCTCACCATGACGGTATTCCCAAGCTGCAATGTCGTCCGACATCTGGACGCAAATCTTTTTTCCTTAGAGGCGCATGGCACGAACTCAAAAGGGGGGAGAGTAGCACAAGCAGTAAGCCCAAAGGCTGGCCGCTGCATCGTCGAGCGCTTTGTTGCGGGATGGTGTAAGTTTTCCGCCGACAACGGCCTTGAGGCCCAGGGCCTTATAGTCCTCCAAACACACAGATCACCAGCATGAGCAGCTCGAAAAGCTCGCGCCTCCAAGCTTTCCGCGTCGACATACCAAGTCGGTGTAATCCCGGCCTCCTCGACACACAGCAGCAAGAACTGTTAATCTTCACCTGACACGGCGGCTCCTGGAGCTGTGTCTGTACAGCAACGATGTCCCGCACGCCCTCAAGTTTGGTGGCACGCCGAGCCGACACGACGCAGAAGTGAAACTCCTCCTTGGACGGAAGACACCTGGCAAGGTGGGTGCTCTCCCGAAAATGTGGACCTTGACTTGATAAGCCGAGTACTTCTTCTCGGTCGCCGAGAGTAACCGGAAAAAGTCCGAGTCTTTGTCCTCGGGTCAGCTCGAAGTGCGCAGGCAGTCTCTCGCACATGAAACTGATTACGTCCTTGAACAGGCAAGGTATTTCAGGGTCCAGGTTTCGATTCGCGTTGGGTCTTCAGGGGCACTGGCTGTTGAACCAGCAGTTGCCGTAGCTGCTTTCCGATGGTCATGGGCTTGGCGTGCAAGTGGATTTAGGGCTTTTAGGGTTTGCGTTTTCCGGTTCGGGATTTCGGTATCCTTTTGTTTCCTCCCAACACTCACCCCAAAGCCCCAAAATCTGCACAAAACCAAACTCCTAGAACCTTGACGCACGAAGCTCCAAAGCCATGCCCGACAACCTTAAAGCCCCGCCAAGAAGCTGCACCGATGAACGACTTCGTGCCCCCTTTGTTTACTTCGCGTATCTGCAGCCGTGCCAGCTGGATCGTTTGTTGCGCCTGTCAAGGCCCAAGGCACCCCGACCGAATCCAAGGCAGCGACATTCAACTCCCGTCGAGCAGTGCGACGGCAGCAGTGCTCGCGTTGTGGCACCTGCAGCTTCGCAAGCCGGACCTGGCCATTGAAGCCATCCTTGTCGCTGAGCGTCCTCCCGACCTGCGAGAACGCTGAAAAGCGGAAGGGTGGGAAGTGACATCCCCGCCGCTCGGTGGCCGACATGCTCTTCAACCTTCTCCTTGTGAAAATAAACCTTCATCTCCGGGCTCACGAAGCAAGTCAAAATGCCTCAGAACACCCAAAGAAGCTTTATATCTGATTACACCTTCTTATACTCGAGACAACTACTGCACATTCACGACGGTGTCGACAAAGGCTTCCTTTCAGAAGGCTTTTCTGCCAGGTTACCACCTAAACCATTGGGTTTGCTCCGTGAGTTCGGCAGGGTGGCTTTCACTCCCTGACCCCAGTCGTCCGGGAGCCATCTGCAACGGTTGAAGTCAACGGAGACTGGAACCTGTGCACGGCCCCGCATGGCATGCACGCACTTCATGTGATGGATTCGGCTCCGCACCCCGGTCTTTGTGATCCAGTTCTTCGGGTCGGCGGCACCTTTTTTCCGGATTACCGGGTACCTTGAGACAGAAGCATCCAAATAATGCCAAGCGCATGGGGGCAACAGTCAACCGGCCGGTTAGTTGTGAGGTGCCTGTGTCATCATAGCTGTGCGCCCTGACGACTAAAGGCGAATCTTGACTCAGAGTCATTTATACGGGTGAACAGCACATGGGCATATGATTGTAAACGTCTGTTTGCTGGCATCAGGCAAAGATACACCTGCCAATACTCATCCGATTCAGTCGGGGCACCCTCCGCGCTCGGTGATGGGCACCGAGTGCGCAGCATCATCCAGCAGCTGCGGCTGCTCATCAATCCGGATATCATCACGCCCGGAGTTCTTCTTGAGTCGCGCTTTCAGCGCACTCGTCATGGAGCTTTTGCTCAGCTTCTTGACGGCTACATGTCCTCGGCATCAAGTCGACTTGTCGTCACCTCTGCTCAAGCGCAGACTGACGAGAGGCCTCGTCGCTGCTTTGCTTCCTTCCCCTTCGACTTCACTTTCAGGCCGGCAGCTCGGCTCCCTTTGCCCATGGCGGAAATGCTCCAACTGGGACGAAGATTTGGGCCGTTTTGACACTTCGTTCCACAGGTCTACAGGACTCGCCTCCGTATCATTGAGTTGGAACTAGACGGCGGCGCTTTCTCTTTCTCTCTCGCTCCTCCCTGCTCGGAAGCAGAGACTTGACTCCGAACAGACTGTCCAAGTGCATTGCATGTGCATTGTTTGCTTTTTGCCTCTCTTCGATCTCGCAGCATGTCAGCGACCAGGTTTAAGCATCCGAGGCGGAGATGTGCAGCCAGCAGCCGTTCCTGGACAAAGGTTAAGAGGCTTCGTCAGCAAGCGAATTAAACTCGCAGGAGGTCCGGAAGATGGTTGCTCAGGAACAATCTGAGCCATTCACGCACCTCACCAACTCTGATGGCGACCTCGCAAAGGAGAAGAGCCGACCCCGGACCCCGACAGCTACAAGTTCATGGCATCCGAGCCGCATGGTGCGGCGTCACCTGCACGTTGCCACGTAGAGGATCGAAGAGGTGCCACTTACATGCCAGCTTCGGGCTGATGTACAGGCTGAGGCTGACGGCTTAAGTCTAGTCCGACCAGCTTTCTGAATGTCAGCCCCTGAATATTAACGGGTGGCTCAGGCCAGCGAGCCCAACAAATGAAAAACTCACAGCATGCGAAGCTCTCGGGCCTGCGGGGCCGGCGCAGCGGGCACCCCAGCGCCACAGCCTGTGCCACGAGGAACGGAAGCCATTTGCACCTGCGAAGTCGGAGCGAGCAGGCCGAAGTGCAGCATGTGAAGAGAAAGCTTGAAGCCGATCTGCCTTTGGGGCAGATCCAGAAACCAGACGTACCTGACATGCTGCGTGCGACCAGGAGAGCAGAAGGCACTCGATTGCAACCAAGGCACTCTGTACGGAGATGGCCTGATGCTATGTTTGCAGGACAACTGCTTCAGTTGTTGGCAATCGTTCTCTATCGTTCTCTCGAGCACCATCAACACAATCACCGTCCCCAACCCACTCTACATGTCCGCAGGGCTCCTGTTGCCACTGACCAACAAGCACCCGCCCATCCCGTCGAGCCACGGGACATGATAACGGGGCTTTAACAGGTGTAACTCGTGGCAACGACACGCAGGGCAGGTGAGCGCAGGACAGGCGTGTTTTTACCACGAAATGCGCTTGAACTCTAGTCAGCGGTGTCGCTACGTTATCACCCTCCTCGTCCAGCTGCGGCCCCCCAGCTCCCACGCGCCCTGCATTGAGACTCTGGAGTTCGTCGCCGGCATCGGCCAGGGAATGCACCGTCACCCCGTACGTCCGCCTTGCGTTCTCCTTTGGTCCGCATCCTGGACTTCAGTCTTCAGTCTCCTTCCATTACTTTTTATCTGCAGGATGAAGAATTTATAGAGAAAGGAAAGGAAGCTGCACGGAATGGAAGCGGGATGATGCTGAAGTTCAGGTCAGCAGCAACTCACACAAAGAATCGCTGCATGTTGTACTCAAGCGATTCGCGGTCATTGAACATTGGCGCGGAAAAAGCTTCTGTTGTGGCATCTTTCAGAAAATCATTGAGGAAACCTTGTATTGCAAGCGACCCATTTCGGCCATCTGCCCCTGCGACGGGAATGACGAGAGATGGTGGGGACCAGGTACAATACCGGAAATAGCGCATAGCACATGCATTACTGTCATGTTGGTACTGAGCTTGACCCTTCAGATTCAAAAGCACACTTGATTGATGTTCTCTTTTTCTGTGAATGCATCCATCTCAAGGCAACCAGGCCACTCCCAACGCAGGCCAGAGCTGCGCTCCGCCCCTGGGGCCTGAGACAAAGGCAAAGGGGAGTCGTGGACAGTTGAGTGGTTTGGTGTGGGTCCCGTGGGTCCCAGAACGTCCACCCGTGGCATGGGGTTGCTACGCTGATGTCATACTACAGGGTCCAGGAGGCATCGGCTGACAAGGCCAAGCAACAAAGACGGCTGATACCACCGGTGCAGATGTTCTGGCCGAGTTGGGGTGTGCCTTGCAACATAATCAACTCCACACATTTAACTTGAGAAGACGGCCACCAAAGCTATAAGGGAAGGAAGCGTAGCAGGGAAAGAGTGAAGGTAAAGGGGGGGGGGCGTCTCCGGCACCAAGCAAGGAACCACCCCCTAAACAAGGTGTATGCATGTGGCCTCCCGTCTACCTGAAGGTCAATTGCCCAGCATGCTTTTGTGCAGTGCAGACGTGACAGATCGGCACTAGCGATCACTAGCGTCAACCAGCTTTCTGCTGCTTGTGCAAGCAAAGACATCCACATAAACAAGATTCCAACGGATGACGGAGCGAAACCCTGCCAATGCAACTGCAACGACGTGCTGCCCAGTACAAGGATTTTGGGACTGGCATGCTGCGAGCATCGTCGCAGCTTCGGGGTCCCGCCTGTGACACCGTCTTTTGTCCAGCGACACACGCGAAGCAGATGAGCGATAGATCATGGAGAGGAAGAGGAGAAGAGATCACACACACACACGCACACACACACACACACGCACGCACGCATGCATGCACGCACGCCCACGGATACGCCCACGCATGCAAGTACACATGCATACAAACCATCTCATGCTCTCGTTCGACAGGCAATCCTCAAAGACAAACTGCGCGTCGGAGCTGGCCAAGACACACTCTTTGCATACTGAGCGGTGGCAGGAGGCGGAGGTGATCGCTGCCCTTCGATGGGTCCTCAGCACATTAGTACGAAGAAAGAGGCGGCGCCCTGCAACCGTGTAATATCTGGCATATCTCAAAGTGTGAGCGGTCGGCACTTTAGTACGGATTGAATTTTGTTACCGCTGGTGTGCGTGTAGTTGCGTGTAGCATCAAGCGAGCTCCCAGAGCAAATCCTTCACATGTCACAGCGCAGCGCATAGAACGCAAGTAAGTGCCTGACCCTGTTCAGTCCTGTGAGCTTGGCTTTTGTGGGCTCGGAGTTTCGGCGTGTTTTGGGGCTACGCACTTCGGCTGCAATCCCTCTGCACAAAAGGAGGCCAGAATGAAAATGTGGGTGTCGTCATCCGTGCAGCTGCTCTTGATTTTAAGGAACTCTGTGCTCCTTCCTGTTTCTCATAGCGAGTCACGAATAGCCAATCCGCTGTCGACTATCAAACCTCTCAGGTCAAGCAGACCATCCAGTTTTCGCGGGGCCATTTAAAATTTATGGGACAGTGCGCTGCAGGTCTATAGTGGAACTGGGCCAGAAGTCTCGAACACACCCCCAGCGAAGAATCACACTTTGCTGCTGAGCGCAAGTCCTCGGCGAATGCAGAACGTGGCTTTCCGCTGAAACGGACACCTCAGGATTCGGCCCAAAGGCTGGCAAACGAGCTTCTCCTGTTTCGAGACCCTGTCCCCTTCTTCATCCAGGCGTCTGGTGCCGGCTGTTGCAGTGGCTGCTGCAGGACCGCAGCAGACTGCCACGGACTCATCCAGTAGGGCGCGGAGCTGCGGTTCTGCCTTCGAAGAGAGTCAGCAGGATCTAAAAATCACCGCAAACTCGAAGAGACCCCAAAACAAACGTGCTGGGACTGCTGGTTGGCTTTGGGTGGCGGTGCCAGCGACTGCCTCGACGAACACTCACGAATGACTCTGGGTCTCGAAAGCATCGCTGAGCCCCGCACACATGGCGAACCTCCGCAGGAGACAGGTCCCTCTTGATCGCAACAGGCGACTGGACCTCCCAAGCGCGGAATGGAACGGGCGGCCAAACGCAAAAGAACGAACACAACCTGTGATGTTTGCCTCGCCCACGATGCTCAGAAGGCCGCTGCCCTTGTGCGACAAAACAGAGCCTCCGCGAGTGGCTAGGGAGGCTAGGGGCTCCGTCCTTTCCGCGACTTATTGACATGCTGGCGACAGGCAGATTTACAAAACAACCTGCCTACAGGGTAGTTTGCAGAGCAGCTGCGCGTCAATGGAGAGGCGTGCTCCTCACCGCCTCGGCTACATCGTATCTGCAGCCACGTGACCCGACTTCTGCATCCAAGGGGCTCAGTGACTGCGGGTGTCTCGGAGAGCACGCAGCCAAATTGCCAGTGGAAGCCTGGGACAGAGACAGATGCGGCACAGTCTCCGGATCTTATGCTGCATCAAAGCAGCCAGCGCATGAAGCGGCATGTTGTGAATCTGCCGAGATGGTGTGGCATAGGGGCTGTTGAGTGCCACCCGGGGCGATGTGGCATCCACGCTCGATGCGTCGACACGTTGTCGAAAGCTGCTACTAATTGGCGTGGCAGACACCTTCCACACCAGGGTGCCAAAATTCGGAGTCATGCGCATCTAGCTGCCTTAGCCCCCGCCTTCAAATGGCCTGCCATGGTACGAATTAGGGCTTGCATCTGCCCGACCATCTTGGTCAAGTCGGACACCTTCTCGGCCTCGCTACGGCCATTTTTCTGTGCATCCTTTATCCAGGTATCCACCTTGGTTTCGTCGGCAATCTAAAAATCTGAGACTGTGGTAATTTTATGTAATTTTTATCCGGGTGACATTGAAGCTCTCCCAGTCTGTGATCCTTTGCCACATTGAGGTCTCTATCGCCCGTGGTGTCGCAGGGGTTTGTGATACGATGCGATGCAGAGGGCCCGTTGAAGTCGGGACTGCCTTTGCAAGGACGCGGAGCAAGAATTACTCTAAGCGTGGCCAAGTCAAAGCTTTCAAGCAGGTCCCTTCTGCGCCTCTTGCGATGCCACCAGTGAAGGGCCACTTGCGGATTCCCGTATGGGCCACACGCTCCTCGGCAGGTGCTCCCTCGGCAGTCCTATCCTTTCTGCATGGCCTTTGCCAAGCCACTGCTTGTACACTGCCAGGGCCGGGCTGATGGTGATGCCCGGGCCTCCTCCGGACTGGGATTGCTCTCCAGTACACCGCCAGTACATGACTGCAAGGGCCTTCGGGTTTCGTGGCAGCTGCTTCCTCTTGCAACTTGAGACACCTAGCAGCGATGTTCGCTGCCAGGGACTCGTGCATCGATGCCGCAGGTTTTGGCGTCAGGAGCAGCAGGGTGGCTCCAGGATCTAGGCTGGAACCTGTAACCTGAATCGAGTCCGAGAAAGCAAAAGGAATGCAGTCCGGTCGGGCAGGAGATACGTGCGACGTATTGCATCAAGCATCTGATGTCAAGCCAAAGCCCGTTCTTGGGCGGTTGATAACCATGGAAATCTGTCTCAAACCTTAGGTTTCACAGGCTTCCGGAAGCGTTCCCAGGACAAACACGGAACGCTGTTTTGGTTGCAGCCGGAGGATCTCTCGGCATGTCGGCGCAAGGGCTCAGGTGCCTGGGCAGTCCTGGGCAAGCCGGCGGAGGCCAGCGAGGCCAGGAAAACCACCGTCAGCGCCCCCATTTCGTTAGCGTGGGCCGCGGTCAGCTCCAGGATCAAGTGGCTTGTGCTTGTGCCAGGCTGGCCTCCCACATACATCTCTTTCTCTCTCTTACTGCTATCAGGTGAAGACAGACACACACACACACACAGAGACTCGCTAAAGAGAACTGTCACAATCAAAGCTTGGCACGTACAGTACGGTTCATCCGGCCTGCATCTCTTGATTTACCTCGGCTGCACTCATGCAACCAACACACATGCACGCGCTGTTCGGCGCACTGAGTTCTTGAGACCGTGGAAATCCTGCCCAGCAGCGGTACAAGCATTCATCCACCCGGTCCAAGCACTGCTTCAGCGGCTCGCTCGTGCAAAGAAGTGCCTTGGGACGGAAGAAGACCAATGGCTCGGACTGGAACCAAACTAGCCAGCATAGCTTGGGCTGATCCTTCCGCAGGAGAAGAGGTCCTCTCACAGGGAGCTCGCTCACCGACTCGCCCAGACGAGGTGCATTGTCAGTCAATGCAAACGGATCCTTGGACAACTGCGTTCGACAGCTACGACAGGTCGGTTTGCGAATCCGATCCTTCTCCCAAACGTCAGAATGCATGCAGAGCAGGCCAGAAAACAATGCCAAGCTTCAAATAGCTTCTCAGCTATGGAATCGAGCCACTGCGGCTGCTCGTCCTGCATAGCATGTGTTGCGAGGAAGCTCTCCTTGCGAATGCTTCACAAGGCACCGGGTCACTTGTTCGTGGCATTCACTCAAGCTCGCTTTGCTACCTGCACGAAAGGCATCGCCATCCCGGTATCCGAATGACTCAAAAATCCCACGAACCAGCCAGCACCCGTCCTCGCAGCACTCAAGCAAAGAAACTCCCAGACGCAACAGCCGCTGCGGTGCCAGACGCGCAGCACCGGTCCTTAGACTACTACAATGCCAGAGCATAATGTAGTGGATGCTTCAAGCTGATAACATGTGTGCTCCTGTGCTCCAGATTTGGTCGGGTCGCCCCGATGGTCTCCCACAGCATACTTTCTCCAAGTCTAGATATGCACTTGGTGTGAGCAATGTTTGTCATCCAGCCAGCTGCCTGCCGAGTTGGCTGTGTCCCCCTATAGGTTTGCTGCAACATGTTTCTGTGCACCCGCTCGCCGATGCAGGGACAGTGCTGACCCTCACAGCTTCCGATGTTCAAGTGCCCGAAGTTTCAAGTGACATTTCCTAGCTCGGACTGTGCATGTGGGTTTCATTGGACATCCAAACACCTTGATGATCAGTTGGTGGCCAATTCTGCAGCACACGCTCCATGTTCAGGTTTGGACTGTGCTTTTAACTTCGCACATCCTCACACCTTTGCAAACAAGAACTGGGCGCATGTTTCTTAATCGACATCTGGCCGCATGACCGTACATGCGCTTGGCCTCGAGAAGTTCATCGTGCGTTGACCCACTCTTGAGATGACAAAGTTCCGCTGCAGACTGCACAGGCATGCCACACTCACACTGACCACTTGGGAAGCCACATCATGTCGCAGGACGCTGGCCGCAGGAGTGAATTCAACACAGGCAGGCCAAGGGCAGGACCTGAAAGGTGAGCAAAGTTTCTCGCCGTGTCTGTGAGAATTTTCTGCACAAAGACGCATGTGTGAGATATGAACTGATGCTAGGATTTTTTTCAGCATGCCGGGCCGCTGCCATAACATCCTATGAAGCTTCGATGGCCGTGCAGGACCTGAGATAAGCTAGTGCAGGTCGGAGTGCCTTCACAAATCCACACTTCGCGGCACACGACACCACACCGCACGAGAGAAAAGGAAAAGGACTGAATCAACCTCCCGAACCGCTACGCCCGAATGATCTAGGGTCTAGAAGGCATGCCACCGAAATGCAGGCTCCACCAGCCTGCCACCGTGCAGAAGAAGTGCCACGTCCACTGATCACAGGCACCCGTCTAGCAAACTGGGAAAATGTCATTTCGGCATCTAAGATCTCAGTCTCAGTGCCTGCTCCTTCCCCCAAGGAAGGAATAGATGTCCTCCGGAAGAGAACCGTCGGCCTGTCCAAGGCAGCCAAGCTTCGAAGTCTTTGTTGAATTTTGCCGTTGAGTTGCGTCGGTTGCATCGGGCTAGAGTCACAGGTGCACCGTTGCAGGCAAAAGCATGATGCAGGCAGCATGTTCAGGTGCTACCTGCATCGGCTTTAGTGACTGGCCTCGCAGCACAGGACCCGGGGAACACCCGAAGCCGCAGCATCCGAGGCGACGCTGAACAATGCGTCGCTAACTTCCTCCGCTTCCTGACAGCCTCGTCTCCAGGCCCTGCCCCTTGCAATGCCGTGCAATGTCAATACTTCGCACTACCAGCCTGGACCCTCATCTTCGGCAAAACCATCTGTCATGAGACGCTATGCACATAGGAGCTGCCTATGTAGCTGGATTCTTGGACTAAGCTGATCTCGCCGTGTGCATGTTGAAAAGACTGCAGCCAGAGCGCTGGAAAACTTGTAAATGTAGGCTGGAAAGACTGCTTCAGCGGAGACCTCAATCGGAGGCTCACCGTAATTTTGCGCGCTACACCTGGAATCTTGCAGACGGTTGGACTTGTGACCTGAGCCAAACGCAACTTGCAAGGAGTTTAGCAAGGGTCCTTTCTAGGCTGTCACGAGATGCACTCCTGCACAGTCTGCGAAGCATTTTCCTGCTCCTGCGACTGTCGGCAACAATACTAGTGTGAACGGGTTTTGTACATAAATAGCCCAAAGGGCTCGCATCTAGCAGATGCACCTCATTATCATCGTCGGGCACCTCTGCGCAATGCGTGCACATGTCTTCCAACTGGTAAGTTGTGCAAACCCTACTCGAGTTCTAGTGAGCAGATCAATCCAATTTCACTGTTGCTGCCTCGACCATCTTAGGGGCATGGAAACCCGTGTTGTAGCGGTAGTGCACAGTCTTCTGAAGGGAACCCCGCACACAGACATCTCGGAATGTGGAATCCACCACTCCACGCTGCAAATGCACGGCTGCACACGATGCATCGAACGAGGGCTCAGAACAGTGTCAAAGGCCATGTGCAAAGCCAGCTGCATGTGGATGTCCAGTGTCAATACTTCAGAAGTTCAGACCACCCAAGACTTTCAGAGATCAAATCACCGCATGGCCGAAAAACTTTCTTTCGGGAAGCTCTAAGCTCCAGGACGCAGTTTGTTGAAAGCATAAGTGGAGCAAATGCCCACATACTTATCTGGTACCTGTTTGGGGGAAACTTCACAACAAAGACTTTGGAGCAGAAAGTGACAATTTTCACAGTTAGAAAACGAGACACTGGGAGGCAAACGGGATCGCATGGCCACACTACTTACAAATGACAACCATCCCAACTTCTGACTAAACTGTACGCCTGTCTGTGGCACGACTTACCAAGGGCAACAATACCAAGCATGGGTTCAAGAAGCTGCGCACCTTTGGGGACCGACTCACCGAGAAGGCTTGGCCTCAGCGCTACACTGCACACAGGGTGCAGCTGCAAAGTACCCTTCAGCTCAGGCCCCCGCTCTAACCCAAGGCCTCATCATATCTTCCCAGAGATTTATCCTCGACACTGCTATGTCAAAGCTGCATGTGGATGAGACAAGTACTGCTCTGCACAAGTACTGTCTGCGAGCGCTTGTCCTTGCGGCCAACTTCGAAACTGCGCGCGTTAACTTCGTCAACAGCGATGCCTCCGAAGCAATCGTCAGATTCGGAGGGGTGCCACGGCAAGTACAGCTCAGCACCCCGAGCCTGATCTTTGAGCTTCTGGGCCCGCTCGCGTGCCCGAGCCTCATGCGCAGCCAGGCGATCCTGCTGAACCTGGCCAGAGTCTCGCCCGATAAGGTTTCTGTGCACAGTCATGCTGACAGCGGCAAAAGCTCCGGGGACCTGCGATGCCAAGGTGAGGAGTGCTATGAGGTCGTGATACACCACATGCTTGCGATCCTCCAAGCACAGTTCGGCTTGCATCTGATATTTTTCTGCCCATCTCATTTCTTGTCCGCTAGGCTAGGCTGCAACCGGCAGAAGGCACGTGATGTCCGCTCACTCTGCTCATTCTGCTGCTGCTGCTGCTGCTTGCTGCTTACTGCTTACTGCTCTGCTAGCTGCTAGCTAGTACTTGCTACGTACTGCTACTGGTTACGACTGCCTTCTCGTATCTCCCACCGCCACTGGCTACCCACCGCTACCACGCCCTACGAGGAGTACACGCGAAAATCGGGTTTCGACTCTGGTGTCACATGCCGTTGGGTTCTTGCAGGGCTTTCTAATCCATGCATACAACAGTTGTGGCTCCGAAGGCCGACTTTGCGCATTTTGAGTCGGCTGATGAAGCAAAAAAGCTATCTCAGGAGTCCTTGTGACTTCGGACCAGTTCCGGCATGACTTGCTCGAGCTCCTGTGCCACAAAGCCATACCTGGATGCACTGCAAGTGCCGTGCCTGTCTTGCTCAGAGTTGCACAAAGCGTAAAATAGGCACTCCAAACACAGTTGCGCATGAAACTTAACGATGAATCGTGCTTGAGTTGTCTGTCGTTTCACGCAGCACCGTACTTCGCTTGGTCCTCTCGCAACCGAAGAAACAGGCTCAGCATGCCATAGATCCTTTGATTGCCTCGCCCTGCACGGCGGAAGGCTGCCACCAGGCGGTCGATATCATGCAGACGAAGGTCGACCCCACGCTGCTGAGCACGCACGCCCAGTCTCTTCCATGCCAAGTCGTGGCTAACCCCCCGCGCTGCGAAGAATTCCGCAAGCACCAACAGGGTGTCAGCTCGAAGGGAAAGACCACGCCTCGCAACATAGTCGGCCACTTGATACACGGGCCTGGCATCGTCCACGTCCAGAATCAAAAGAGCCTTTGCGAGCTCTGCTGCCATGTCCTGATTGAAGGTGTGGTCCAGGCGCAATCGCCGAGACTCCTCGCAAAGGACTTCCAGCATGCGTTCCTCCGGCCGCCATTTCAGCATGCCTAGAGCCGCCCAAATGCTCGTGAGGCCCTGTGCTGCAAAAGAGATGGAGCGCGTCTCCATCGCCTCCAGCATGAGCAACAGAAGCCACTCAAGGAATCGCCGGTCGTCGGGCGTCAGCTTGCCAAGTGCTTTCAGCAATATGCAGAGGTTGTGGCTCGACTCAGGCAGACTCTGCCCAAAGAGCAAATTCCGGACTGATTGCTTCAGCACCACAACTTCGGAAGGTGAGACACGGTCAACTGCCGCCAAGCCCCAAGCATACATTGCCAAGTCTGCTAGCAAGAACTCCTGGGCCCGGTCACGGAGAGCAGCGCCGAGGGAAGTCCAGGCCTGGTCGTCGTGGACCAAGGTTCGCCTCGGCGCATCTCATACCACCATTCTCATTCATGTTGCATCTGTTACATTACAATAATTCTCATACTACTCCTGTACAACAGCCTCTCACCGTAAAGCCCCGACCTGGGAAGTACCTGGGAAGTACCCAAACACTCATTTCCTGGCAGGCTGCCCGAGGCCCCAAGCACAGAGCGCCAACTGCTTCGGTGTCATCAGAGGTATGCGAGCCGCCATGAGTGGAAGCAGCCTCCACACCGCCGGAGCGTAGCCCAGAACGCCATATCGGTGGAGCAGAAGGTGCACACTGTCCTGAAAGTGTACATCTGCCTTCGAGACCAGCAGCTGACTATACTCCTGGAATTGCGGCAACGACGTGCTGAAGCGCTTTCGCACTGTCAGAAGCGTCAAGGATGCAAGCCAGTCTCGCTTCGAGAACTCTCCACTTCTCTCCAAGCAGAAGCTCAAGAAGTCACCTGCCTCTGGATACGCTGCCATCTCCCGTGCCAGGGGAGTATCGCACTCCCACCGCAAGATCTTCGCACCGCGCAGTGTCAAGCGCTGGTGCTGAGCAACTCTCAGCCTCTGCGGGAGCCGCCAGAGCCACATGAAGCTTTGGCCGAGCTGGGCGTTTTCCACAAAACTCCATGAGTGCCGGAAAGGGCAGTTTTTTCTGCGAGTGAAAAAGACGCTTGGCTGCCTGCAAGATCTACATCATGACCACACTCTGCAAGCATCTCAGCTTTTGGTTGAATGGGAATATAAGGCAAACTTGGCGGACGGGCATCAAAGTCATGTATGACAGCAACTTTCCCGGATCACAGGCTTCACGGACACTAGGCTCACCTGACGTACTTGGCGTCCGGTCCCTCCTTGAAATAGTAGGACACTGGTCGAAGCTCCTGCTTCACTGAACACTTCATCTCCTCCATTTGTTTGACACATGTGCTGCACACATTTCCACTCTCACTTCAGTCCCGCAGCAGCCAGCCCACGGCCTTCGCTCTGTCCGACTCTCCTGGCATCGCGAAAGGGTAGCAACAATGGGCGCCCGACTGGTAGAAAACATCAGGGCACAAAACTGGCAATCAAAAACATACACATGCGCACACGCACATGCACACGCACAAGCACACGCACACGCACAGAGAAATATATATATATATATATATCTGTGTGTGTGTGTATATGTATGTGTGTGTCTGTCTATCGACCCAACAATCTCGCCTTCTGAGCCTCTTTCAGAGCTAGTCCGCTGCATGGCCCTGGACGCGAGAGTCCCTTCCAGCGGCTCGATACGACGCCTGGGCGGTTTCTGACTGCAGACCCACTTGCTGAAATGCGTTTGGCATCTAGGGGCCAAGCTTCAGCCTCTGGTCTGAGGCACTGATGATACTCTCCGATGACCAGGTACCTCCAAACGAACGACACTGTCACGGCCTCTCCAGGATGGAGATCTGCCAAAAATCTCGGGCCAGGGCCGTGGAGGCTTCCCCCGGTGCTGCTGATGCTCATCCGCTTGAGGCCACCAGCCTCGGCCGAAGTTCATGGCAGCGAATTCTGCGAAAGTTCGTTGATCATATCTTCTCTGCTCAATAAGATCCGAGCGTGGACTCTGAGCTCTGTTGCTCCCGTGTCGTAGTAGATGTAGTTATTCCTGAAAGGTCATCGGCTTTACATCTGCAGGGCGCTTCACCTTCAACATGCGTACTCTGAAACGTCTGTAACTTGCAGCGTGTTAGCCAAGAGACGCCCCGTTGAAGTGGATGGCAAAACCTGGCGCTTGCCGTGCATAAACATAAGGCCAACTTCACCTGCTCTCTCTCTCTCTCTCCGCAACCGCCAGGGCTTGTTCCGGGGTTTGGGATTGCTGGTCAAAGAGCCCAGCCAGGCCTGGATAAACATTTTCGTGAACTGCCAATGTGCTCTCCAAACATGCGGTGCCGATCGGCATCCTTGGCAGCAGAATCTCGCATGCATAACCTCTCGACTACACTTCCTTTGCCTTGCCACTTTGTTGCCTGTTCAAGCTTAGCTAGCTTTTCCTGCCTGCGAAGCCCATACTGCAAGCTACAACATGCCGCGATCTGACACGTCAGATCCCAAAGCTGCCGGCCGCCAGTTAAGACCCCAGCGAGGGGCTGCCCGGCTGAGCAAGCTGTCGCAACGGCAAAAAAGCATCTGAACCTGGCACACATGCCAGGGAAGCCGGATGCAATTCCACACTCGTGAGCTTTCCGACCGCGCGCACACAAGAGAGAGAGAGAGACAGAGACAGAGACGGATACGGAGACGGAGACGGAGAGACAGAGACAAAAGAGACAGAGACAGAGACAAAGACAGAGACAGAGACAGAGACAGAGACAGAAAGCGAGAAAGAGAAAGAGAAAGAGAAAGAGAAAGAGAAAGAGAGACCGACCGACCCGACCCGACCTGACCCGACCCACCGACAGACCGACCGACCGACAGACAGGCAGACAAACAGAGAACAACCCGAGCTGCAACAGATGGCCCGGGTAATGATGCATCCTCTAGCTGCAACGGAACTTGCGCGCAGCTCACAATTTCCTACAGCTGTGCTGCGAACGGCATCTGTCTGACATGTCCACTGGACAGTGGGACGTGCCACGACTCCAGAACAGTAGAGCAAGTTCTCGGCAAAAGCAAATCCAGGGCCAGCACGTGAGGAAGCCGAAATCGATGATACTGTTTCTGGGCCTGACATTTGTAGGATGACTATCGAAGACTCCAAGCCGACGACACGTCCTTGCACTAGCAGGCAATGACGGGTGGCTGAAATGGCAATGAAGTTGGATGAGACTGGGGAGAAGACCGGCCATAAGAATTCTGCATCAATCTCCCTCTGTGAGCCCGGCAGGCGAGGCTGTGTAAAGGAAGCAGGAGGCCCAACTGAGGTTGCTCACAGCACTTCAGAGCTAGGAGACGTGCAGGCTTCGAGTTGCATACTGAGGTATCCGCATGCAAAGAATCCGAGGCAATCGGTGGCAGATCAAAGCGGACTCCACCCAATACCGGCGGTGACACGTCCAAGTGACCGACCTGAGACTGGCGGCGAGCAGCCAAACATCAGTTGAGGAATGCACCCACTGTTCACGGCCTGATTGCAGACTTCATTGCATGTCTAACACGCGTCATATGCCCGGATTCTTGCCATGCTAGGGAGCCTGCATGTCGAATGGATGATGGGCCTTCGTGTTTCGTATTGGACCCAGAGCTTCTGCACGGCTGGATGCAAGATACACAACAAGACTCTGAACGTTTAAGGTGGGTGACTCACTAAGTTGACGTTGCCACCAAAGGTCGCATCACCTCGGTACCGGACTGTTCTTTACAAGCCTTCATGACTTCAGATTCACAGCACGGGAATCGACACCTGTCTACACTTGCCATCGGAGAACGCACAGGAAACAACGCTGAAATGAGCTAACCACCGACCGTCGATGGCCCCAGACCGAAGCGCGCGGGCCTGAAGCCGGTCAGTGAAGAAAGACCCGCTCCAGTGATGTGTTGGCCATTGGACTGGCACTACAACTTTCAGCGTGGCTGTGGTTCATCTTGGACTGCTAAGCAATTAAAACGTTCCAAGGACTTCCAACTCTTCCATGTTCAAAGATGAATAAGGACAATCGAGCAGAATCGAGCAGTGTTTTTCCTGAGCCGCCTGCGGCAAAAAACACATGAACAACCGGGGACCGCACGATCTAATGGCCAGAAACAAACCAGATGAGGCCTTGCGGTGCAACAGCCCCCCTCCCCCATTTACCGAAACCAACAGCTCGTCAAATGCTTGCAAGACGCAAGGTCCAGCACTGCGGCTGGCAAACCAGAACGGGACCGCCCAAATGACGGAAGGAGAGGTCCAATGCACCCGGCTGTCCTGCAGGGCTCTTGCAGCAGCCAAAAATCCACTAGATGTTACGCCTGCCTTGCCAACGATGATAAGTCTGCGAATACAGCGTCCAAGGCTGCTGAAGTAAATCCAGCCTTCAAGCCGGCTCCATCAGCTCAAGGACTCAAGGCGCCACTGCGAGGCGACACAGCGTTGAGAAGGTGTAGCTACTCGGGCTGGGGCACAGGTGGTGCCGATGAGGAAAGCCACTACACCCAGCTGGACGAAACCTCAGCAATGCATGCGGCGAGGACAAGGCAAGAGCCTCCAGAATCTGTTAGGTCCTAGGTGCATTGAGCGCCGGACTTTGGAGCAACAGGGCCGTGCCTGGATGCCCGGAGTCCTCGGAGAGTTATCTCTCTGCATCCCTTCCATCCTTGCGCACAAGGCGAGTAGCCGGGATCGAAGGCAAAGATCCGACTGTGAGGGCCGAGATCCTGAGAGAGTTCAGGTGGCACATGTCACATGCCGATCAGTTCAGCTCACTTGTCTTGGTGGCAGGCAATGGCACGGACGGGCCAAAACACCCCAGTCTCTTCGAGGATATCAAGGCCTCGACCTTTCGCCGTTGCGCACATGTCATCAGGTGTCTCCCTGCGCCTGCGGTGGAATGCGAGGCTGCCGAGGCCGGTGCAAAAGACAAGTCCACCGCTGGGGGTGGCAAACCAAGTTTGCCCGTTCCGGACATCGACCTTCCGATCCAAATGCGACGTGCGCACGCCTAGGATTCTGAGATTGCTCGTTCTGAGCCACGGGCAGGCCCGCACCAAACTGGGAAAAGCTCTGCAGGGTTGGGAGGATGTCTGGATGAAGAGAGTCCTTAGGTGAAGCTGCCGGTCCACGGGTGCAGGCAAACGACTAAGGGGCTCCGGGCCATCACTGCCAGCAAGGAACCGAATCATCCTGCCATGGGTTCTGTCTCAGCGTGATGCCTGCCAAGTGGGCCTGGGCCTGGCCTGGACCAATTGGCAGAACTACGGGACCAAGCTGAACCAAATTTTGCACCGGAAGAGCACCTTCCAAAAAGGCACAGTGAGAGCGCCTGCAAGCTGCGATGGACTTGAGGACCCCGCTTTCTGAGTACGAGCAGTCCAACACTGAAGGCAAGAGCTCGAGGTGACCATTGCTCAGAACCATCGAAACGGCTCCTGACCTGGCAGATTGGCCTCAGAAGCAGGGAGCTCTCACTGATGGGAATACTGAGATGGGCACAAATGAGTCCCCAACGCAACATCAGCAGAAAGCCTCCGTGCAGGAGGACTAGAGGCTGCGCTGTCGAGAGGAAAATCAATCCGAATCCGGCCTAGTTGGCTCATTTCTGGAGCCAGCATCGAAGCCTCAAGCCGGGATAATCTGGAAGCTGCCGGCAACATCCTTGGAATCCACAAGCGAAACGCGATAGTCGCCATGGTCTTCCACAAGGTCTGGCCAAAAGGCCAACCCAACTGCCGAGCCACTCGAGTCGACTCAAGCTGCGCGAAGGCAACACCAAATCAGATTTGGCGACCTCGGCAAGGTTCAGCAACCTCTGCATGTATGCAGTGCCAGAGCCTTCCCTTCGCATCTTAGACAACTCACAGCTCAGCCTTCAAGCTAGAACTCAGGAGACCGTAAGCTTCGACAAACACGCACTGCACACTGGCGCCAACATCCTTTCACACAAGTCACACAACAAATCATGCAAAATCAGGGCGGATGTCTAGGTCTGGGCATCTGGCTGTCAAGACAGAGGGCAAGCTGCCCACATGCGATCTTCCAGAGAATGGCAAAAGAAGCCCCAATCTCAGCAGCAAAGGCACGCTTAGGACTGGAAAGGTGCCGCGCGATGGTGCGGTTGTGTATGTCGAGTGCATGCCAGCTGGCCCAGCATCCCACAGCATGAGGACCGCACCATGCACGACACCGCAGTGGCGGAAGCACATCCAGGCTTGCCCAGTCGAGGGTGGACGGGAACCTCGGTCTTGATAACTGGGAAAGTTGCAGGTGCGAAGGTTTGCCACCCTACTGAGGCGCTTGCAAGCCAAGCCTATTCGTGCCTGGCAGTGGCGACGAAGATGCCAGCCTCGATTGGCGGAAGAACCGTGAACGACCCGAAACGGTCATGGCTGCACCTTTGTCGAGCCTGCTGAGTTGCCGCGGCGGCAGAAGTGGCCCGGTTTCTTGAAATCCACAAGCGAATAGCGCAACGGCCAGCCTCAATCGCACGCTGCTCACCGCAAGGGGGTGCTGATGGTGTGTTCCAACGAAGCTCAGGAAGCAGCCACGCGAGACTTCTAGGCACTGGAAAGCTTCCCAGCTGCAGAGAATCGGGAACCTGAACGTCGTGCACGAAAGCGCACGTGTTTTGCGACCCCGACGGCCAAGGCGGCCAAGGGCCGGACAGCGGGAGGCATCTCAAGGCGAGCAACACCGACAAGCAGAACACATGGCCTCAAGGTGCCCAGATGTGCCCACTTCACATTGATATGAAACAGTAGCCACTTCTCTGGGTCCTTGGCCCAAGTCACACGGGGGACCTCAGCAGGCAAAACACCCTCGTCTCAAACATTAGTTACTAGTTGCTGGCCCACCCCTTGACGACGTCTGGTGCAACCATGCTGCTGTAGTGAAGGAGTTGCATCTGACCGGTCGGCATCAGCTGCTGCCTTAAAGCGTGATCGTGGCAAAACCATGAAGGTGACAGAATGCTTCGTTCTGGGCCAAATGCCAGAAGAAAGCCCAGCTTCAGTGCGCCACAGGGAGGCGAAGAGGAGCCGCCTACGGCATAATGAACGATGCACTGGGTACTTGCAGCTTTCCTCGGGGCTGCGTGACAAGGCCGAGCCCGCCACACCGACTGGGACGTTGCAAGGAAAGAAAAGACCCCGAGCCTCAGCAACGTAAAAAGGCGGTCACATCTGTCACCCGAAGCCTTCGCTCGCTCTGTTGGCAAAGGGCGGAGGAAGTCCAGAACCAGGGCTGACCTAAGCTCTTAGCACCGGGCAGAACAGCGAGGTTGCAATCACTGGCCATGGAGGGGCTCGGGCAAGCCGAGTCTGCTCAGGCCCATAACCAAAGGCATCGGACTTAAAGATGCGAAACCTCCACGGTTCACGCAGGATCAGCTCCACTCAATAGCCAAATTCACTCTTCCCCCGAAACTCACCTTGAATGGGCATGGTGCTGTCGATCTTCGCGAAGTCGCACACCATCGGCATCACTTCAAGGCGCATGAAGCCGGATGTGACCAGGGCGGAGCCCAGGGAAGCCTTTCAAGAAGCGGCGGCGTGGGTAATTGCACGAAATGCGGAGCATCAGTTGAACTTCGAGCTGAGCTCCACACAGATTGCCGCACAAGCAAGGCTGATTCGGTTTGCACTGTGTCCAGCACCGGCAGAGACTGAGATTGCGAGGTGCTCAGCAGGAAACAATCTGCGACCTACCGTGCAGTCAGAGAATATAGCGGCCTCAACCCGAGGCCCTGACTGTCTCGAGGTCAGCAGCGCCAAAGAGCGGCACCACCACGGCAGCTCGAGCAAGGCTCCTCACGATGCACAAGACTTGCGATCCCTGCGTGGCATCGGCAACCATTCTGCGTGTAATTCTGGTTTTTGTAGCTTCGAATCGACAACCTGCCTGAGATCGCGTCCTTAAGAGTGGAATCGAGAAATCCAAGCCTGGATCGAACCGAAATCCAAAATGTTAAACCCCCTAGCCCTAAATCCTACACCACACTGCCCCTTGAAGATCGCCGGGAATACGTTGGAATTCAAACAGCACCCTGTGTTGCTGAACCCAACACCCACCCCAAAAGTAAACTCAACACCTTCCCTCGCCTCAACGGAGGAGAGCTGCCCAGGCAGGCCAGCTCAGAAGTTGGAAAGGCCAGCCCAGTGCAGGAAAAACTCCTGGCAGCAGTCGAGAAGTAGTTAGCGTATTTCAGACAAACCAGAGAGAGCCTCGGAATCGACGAGCTGCCAAGGTGAAGAGGATCAAGGGCAGGAAGCGGTACACCTGTCCCAAAACATGTGGCGCCACTATCAACACGCACCTGTCCGGAAATTCGGGACCGCCTGGAAGACTGCGGCCATTGATGAGCGTAAGAGCTCCAGGACGGGAGAGGCCACGGAGGAACAAAAAGCTGCCGGCTCTCGAGCGACCTGAGAAAAACACCCGGCTGAAGGCTGCATGCTCTGCACTGCTCTCCGCTGTTTACATGCTCTTAGCCCCGGACCAGGCACCAGCACCACCGAGCCGGTGCGTCCGGAACTCTGTGGGAAGAGTGGTGGGCCGAAGTTGCTAGAATCCAGGACAGCGAGAGGAGCGCCAAGCTTGGTCCCACCGCACCTGGGCCACAGGGTCTGCACCAGCTACAACGGATTGAGCTCAGCGCCTACCTCCAACTGCAAGGCCAAGCCACGCCAACAGTGTCGTGCCAGGCCGTGCAGGGCTGCGGGTTGTGGGCGCTGAGCCGATGCCAGACGAGTGAAGGGCAAAGGCAGTGGCACCCGGTTTCGAAGGGCTCCGAGTCGGCAACTGAGCCATAAGTCGTCATTCAACAAACTCATGTCGCACACAAGCCAGCTCATGACATAAATTGAAACAGACCGTTGCAAGTAGATTCCTCCATTCAGTCAAGGAGCGAAGCTGCCCAATTGTAAGGGATCCGGTGCTGATGAAGACGAGTCCATACGCAAAACTCCAAGAAGGCTTGCTGACGAGCCCATCCATGTGGAGCACCGCACCGGCAACCTAAGCCGCAGGGCTCGCATCTTCACTCCATGTGGACATCCGCACTTGGAGGTATTCGGGGGTGGCAAGGGCACAAAAATGCGTGAAAGGTAGCTGCAGCTGGCCAAACCTACTACGGGCATGACAACGAGGTCGGGTGCACATGAAATGCAGCCAAGAAGCAAGAAGCCGAGAGCAGCTGAGTCCAGTACCATAAACGGTGACTCCAAGCCGCATGCGCCAAAGGTCGGTAGCATGCTGCCAAAACAACCGTAATTCCGGGTGGGCAACAGGCTTCCCAAGGTGGTGTAGTCCAATATGGGCATCGCACCTCCAAAATTGCAGGTGCCGATGGAAGAGGTCGACGCTCCAAGCCTCAGCGCCGCGCGAAGGAGTAGCGGACTGCCCGTCTCGACGCAACCCACGGCCAGAAGGGGTGAGCCAGTCCGGCCCAAGCCAAACAAAGACAGCAACACAGCCGAGCAAGTGAAAGTTTGCAAAAGCAACATCGAGTCTGACATTGAGAAGCTCGATGCCAGCAAGACTAGGCCGAGCCTGGCAAGCCCAGCAGCGAGCACGGTTGTGCCAAAACACATGTACTTCTGCAGTGGTGACAAGCTGTCGATGTGGGTCATGGCCAACGTGGATAGCGACAGTCCCGGGCAAGCACATGACTGCAAAAGTGATGACGAGCCCAAATGTAAAGGATCAGGAGCTACTGCGAAAACTTCGGACCGAGCTAAAGCACAAACGGATGAGATCAGCCCAAGCCTAGCAGGCTTCCGAATCGCTGAAGAGGATCCCGAATCCACGACATCCAACACAGACGGTGCAGATTCAGTGCTCGCAACACCCATAAGTAGCGAGAGACTGCCAACATGAACAGTTCTTCTCGGAGGAAGCGATACACCTGCTTCCGACGCCTTTGAGGCAAGCATCAGCATGTCCAGATGTGTGAAGCTACGCGGAAGCAGCAGCAAGTCCAAGTGCAAAGGGTCCAAGACCGATGTCGAGGACTCCGAGCGACTTGTACCAGGAACCGCCGTGATCAAGCCCAGCCGCAAAAAATGCCTGATCACCAAGGATGGACCGAAGCCAGAGAAGTTCACAACCGAAGGTAAGGATCCGCAGCAGGTGCCGCCAAATGATGGCAGGGCTGTCTCTGAC